AAGGATCCCTCAGGTCTCAATTTAAACCCTGGTTATGCCATTTACTAGCTTCATGTTTCATTTTTCTCAATAGCTCCATTATAAACACCATGGATGTGGCAATCACATTGGTCATAGTCACTGCTACATTTAAAGTGAGTAATAAGGGCGGCCGGGTGGCTCAGCCGTTTAGCACCACCTTCAGCCCAGGGCTGGATGCTGGAGACCCTGGGTCCAGTCCCATGTCAGGCTCCCTTCGTGGAGCCTGCTTCTCCCTCTGCCTGTGTCTCTGCCTCTCTCTCTCCCTCTCTGTGTGTCTTCATGAATAAATAAATGAAATCTTAAAAAAAATAGAGTAATAAGTAACAGTGATAATAATAGTAGAAAACAATTTTGATTACTTTCCATCTGCCAGAGACTGAGCCCAGTAAACAAACAAGTACTTACCTCACTGCTACAATGCACTGTTATGAAAGTGCTTTGTTCATTTTATGAATGAGCAAATTTAGGCTTAGAGCTCAAGTAACTTACCTGAGGTCACTCAGATAAGATGTGGTTGAATGGGGATTTGAATTTGAGCCATCAAATTTGCAAGCTAATCTGCAGAAAAAAAAATGTTGCAATTAAGAAAGGTAGGAAGAGGGGGGAAAGTGAAGGGAAGAAAGAGAGAGACAGGGTTAATAAAAGGAAATGTCACTAAAATATAGTTGGGAGGCTGTCAAGGGACCTGTCATGCCCACCACTCCTGGTCAATTGCAAATCAAATCAGAAGAGATGGACCTTGCTCAGGATACTACTTTAGGTACTACTTTCCTACCCAGCAGGGGGAAGAAAGGTTTTCCTCTGCTCCTGGCAACAGCCCAGCCAATGAGAGATAGTCACAAGACAGCCAATGAGAAGCCACTCTATTTCCAGCTCCCAGTTTACTCCAATGTTTTGTTTTGTTTTGTTTTAATCAGTCTCCTAGCTCCCCCCTCCTTTCCTCTATAAAAGAATGTTCCTCTCTTTTGTCTGGGGGACTGGCTTATGATTTTTACTGTAGTTTTCTTGCCTTGTATTGCCACTCTCTGCTATTTCTGAATAAACCCATTTTTGCTTGTAAACCAACTAGCAGTTTCATTTTTAAAATGAAAGGATAAATGCAAAGAGAAAGGAGGGGGAGCAAAGGGGAAACCAGGAGGTAGTATGAGAGGAGGGAAGATTGTGGAAAAAAGTAAATGTAAGAGGTGTAAATGAAGAAAGACAGATAACGTCACAGGGTTGTGATGAGGTGTAATTGAGAAACGTAAAGCAAGTTCAGTGTGCCTGGTACTATCATATCATGGTATTGGTATATATCAGTAATCCTTGGGAATTAAATGTCAATATCAATGGAAGGATCTACTGTAAATAACGTAGTATAAAGCAAAGTAAATTTTAAAAAATGATATGGCCTGTTATTTATTGAAATTATAGATTGAATGCACTCTCCTAACTCAGAGACACAGCACTGAAATCCTCCTTTGTCTGTTGAGTAAAGAGGACGGATATGTTCTAACAGAGGAAATGTCACAAGAATATTCTCCTATTGACCTGACACTTTCAACAATCTAATATTTCACCACATTTGCTTCATCTCCCACTTTCTTTCTCTTCCTGCTTTTATGTTGTTGAAATAAAGCTTGGGCATCATGAAATGTCACCTCTAAATACTTCAATATGCACGCCTTTTAAATGATCACTCTCTGTCATAACCACATTCCCAGTCTAAGTTCCCTCCCGGAAGAAGAGCCTAAAACAAGGGCTTGCATGCAAATTGTTATTTTGGGAAGTGAGCCCAAGGAACAATGTGGAACGGAGAAGAGTGGAAGCAAGGAGGAGGCAAAGTCAATGCAAGGATGCACCTGTGGGCACCTGGGCTGGATTGTGAACCTCTGAGGAACTACAGGATTTCATTCAAATTGTGTATTAAGTGACTGAAATGGGGAGTGTTTGTCCACTGGTTCCCATGTCATGGTCTGGGATGCCCCATGGTGGGGGGGGTGTTAACACTTTTACACTGCCAGGTTTGCAATGGAATGCTTCAGAAGCAGACAGAATAGGTGGAAAGTTTCTGGGGTCCTGCAGGAGGCAACAGAGAAGCCCCAAACAGCCCAGAGCAGAAAGTGAGAGATCTGTGGTGCAGCTTAGGGAAGGTGCCATCAGGTTTCACCTGCAGGACCCTGGGCACCACAGCAACAGCTAGAGTGAACATGGAGCTGGGGTGGGCGGGGTGGGGGGCAGGGGGCACAGCCAGGACCTAAGGAAAACATGCCTGACACAACTATAATGCCATTGCCACAGCTAATCAGATTCATTCGAATGCCTTGAGATCATCTACTACTCAGTCGAAAATCTGATTCTCCCAATTGACCCAAAGAGCTCTTTTTAGAGTTGCTTTGATCTCATTAGAATCCAAATAAGGATCACAAATTGTGTCCTTAGTTAAGGTTATGTTCTTAAATCTCTTTTACTCTAGAACAATCCTCCTTCACTTTTTCAAATACGATTGATTTACACCCCAAAATCCTATAGCTGGTGTCCTAAGACTGTTCCACATTTTGGTTTTCCCTCATTAGAGAGTCAGATCATGTTATATCTCTATCCCCAGTATTCCTGTAAATGATCATAAATTCCACAGTGTTTATTAAACTCAAATAACTTTAATGGCAAGAAAACATTGTAGGCGATGCCATGTGCTTCAAAGTGCATTCCATCTGAAGACTCAAGCAGTAGAATCAATGGTGGGTCTCCAACAGATATGTCCATATCAAAATGTCAGAACTTGTGAATATTAGTTTGTATAAAGTGGCAAAAGATGTAGTGAATTTAAGGACCTGAGGAAGAACTTACCCTAGATTACCTGGGTGGACTCTAAATGCAAGCCTACTTGCAAAAATGTATATTTAGAGAGGCAGAGGGGGTTTGGGGACAGCCTCACAGAATCTAGTGAAGTTGGAGCAGAGATTGGAGTGATGTGGCCCGGGAACCCGAGGCCAGCATCCAGAAGCTGAAAGAGGCATGGAATGGATTGTCTCCTAGAGTCCCTGGAATGGAGTGCAGCTTTGCTGGGTTTCAGACTTCTAGCGTCAAGAATACCAAAATGCTAAGTTTTAGGGATGTAGGGATTTAACAGCCTGATCTCCTCATTGCCAAGTCTCACACAAACTCTCCTTTGAATAGTTCTGCTCACTGATGAATGTGGCCTGCATTAATTACTATTTAAGTATAATAGAATGGTGATTTCTGGACTCCTCTCTTTTCCTTTTTAAAAAGAAGAGTTCTTTATAAAGATGGACTTTTCATTATCATCTTGGGTTCTTTTCTTATTTAAAAATGGAACTCATGCAGGAAACACTAGAGGTAAATATTTCATCCCCTCTCCCCTCCTTTTTATTTTTATTTATTTATTTTTATTTTTAAAGATTTATTTATTTTTATTCATGATAGACATGGGGGGGGGCGGGGCAGAGACACAGGCAGAGGGAGAAGCAGGCTCCATGCACCGGGAGCCTGATGCGGGACCTGATCCTGGGACTCCAGGATCGTGCCCTGGGCCAAAGGCAGGCGCTAAACCGCTGAGCCACCCAGGGATCCTCCCCTCCTTTTAAAAAATTTCATTTATTTATTTGACAGAGAAAGAGTGTGTGAGAGGGAGCAAAAGCAGGTGAGTTGCACAGAGGGAGAGGGCAAAGCAGACTCCCTGCTGTGCAGTGAGCAGGATTTGGGGCTTGATCCCAGGACCTTGAGAGCATGTTCTAAGCTGAAGGCAAATGCTTAACTCACTGAACCACCCAGCACCCCACATTCCCCCTTTTTAATTATTTTTAGTGATTTTATTTATTTACTTGAGAGAGAGAGAGGCAGAGAGAGCGAGTGTACAAGTAAACAGAGGGGCAGAGGCAGAAGTGGCTCCCTGCCAAACAGGGGGTGGGATGGGGGCCTGAGTGGAAGGCAGAGCCACCCAGGAGCCCCACATTCCTCCCTTTTAACTGCTATACTCCCAAGTAGGCAATTGTCCATGACAGTACTTTTAAAACTATTTTTATGACTTTATATTTTTAAGAACAGCTTTAGGTTCACAGCAGAATTCAGCAGAAGGTACAGAGATTTCCCTTCTCACTTTCCTTTCCCTGCAACTCAAATACCGAGCCTCTGCGCTGGTCAGTAGCCTCCCCCAGAGCGGTGGTATATTTGTTCCAACGGCCACATGAATACGTTGTGTGTCGTGGTTGTACAGGGACACATCCTTATCACTGACAGCCTTTAGTTCATATTACGAATTCCCTCCAGGTGTCGTTATATTCTATGGGTTTGGGTGAACACGTGCTGACATGCATCCCCCATCATCATACCGTAAAGTGCACTTTCACTGCCCTAAAATTCCTCTTTGCTTTGCCTATTCGTGATAGGTAGCTTAGGTCCTCATTTGCGGGGCAGCTGGGTCAGCTCAGCGGTTGAGCACTTTGCCTTCCTTCCACTCATGGGTCCTGGGATCGAGTCCTGCATCAGGTTCCCTGCAGGGCGGGGAGGGGGGCGGGGCTGCTTCTCCCTCTGCCTGTGTCTCTGCCCTTCCCTGTATGTCCCTCACGAATAAATAAATAAAATCTTAAAAGAAAAAAAAATCCTTATTTGCCTCATTGTTACTAGTTAACCTCTCCTACTAGACTCTGACCTCTCGGAGAGCAAAAAAAAAAAAACAAAAAAACCAAAACAAAAACCAAAAAGCAAAACAATCCCACCAACCCGTCAACCTCCTTCACTGTGTCCTCAGTAGCGCCTGCCACAGGGAAGGGGCACCCCCGACGTGCTTTTTTACTAAATTCTCAACATCCCCGAGAGATCCGGGCCCCCCCCACCCCCCCGCAGTAACGTAGAGGCAGGGAAGGCACGTGCGCGGGTCTTTTATCCTCGGATCACAAAGGGGGCGTGGCCGCGGGCGCTGGGGGCGTGGCGTAGGGGCGCGGGGGCGGGGCCACGGGGCGGAGGGGCGGGGCCGCAGGGGCGCGGGGCTTCCTGTCTAAGATGGCGTCCCCCGTAGCGGCGCGAGCACGGACACTTCTGCGGGAGCTGGTGCTGCGGCCCCCGCTGCTGTCGGCCCGGTGGCAGGTGAGCGCGCCCCGCGGCAGGCGCCCCGCGGCCGTCCTCGCCTCCGCCTGCGTCCCGGCGGCGCGGGCGCTGCAGCACCTGGCTGCGCCCGGGCGCTCTGCCGACTGCCCCAGCGCCGCCCGGCCCCCCGCCGAGGCCGTGCCCTGGTGCCCCGGCTCTGCCCAGGGCGCTGGCACGGCAGCTGGCGGGGCGCGGCGCGTCGAGAGGTCCTCGGGCCTCGGGCCTCGGGCGCGTTGGAGCCCGGAGGGTCTAGCATCCGCGTGGCCGGCTCTGCCCGGGGGACGCCTCGCCCCCGGGGCGCGCGGGTTAGACCACGTGACGAGCAGGCCCGCCCCAGCCCGGCTGGGCTCAGTAGCTCGCCTCCCCCGGCAGCTCTCTCCAGGGTGACCCGCTTTTTCAGACTTGAGGGCGCTTCAGTGGGTCGGACGGGCTGAGGGAGGAAAGTGGGAAACGCGCCGCCCTCTAGCAGGGAGCAGGGAGCAGGGAGCAGGGCTTCCCGCCACAGAGGCGGCTGAGCGGAGCCCTGCACGTCCCCTCCCCCCACCTCCTCCCGGATTGCAGGCCTCGGCTGGATGGATGCTCAGTACCTGTTGGAACTTGCCTTCCGCTGGATCTCACCTTCTGCAGGATGGCAAGAGTATTCAGAAGGCTTTTGGGGAGTTTTGAGTTGGCGTTGACTCTTGGAGAAGTCACTCAATTGCCCGGTTTCTGGTTCTCCGTAAATAATCTCTTTTCCCTTTTATTTTTAAGATTTTTATTTATTTATTCATGATAGACATAGAGAGAGGCAGAGACACAGGCAGAGGGAGGAGCAGGCTCCATCTCCGGACTCCAGGATCACGCCCTGGGCCGAAGGCAGGCACTATTCTGTATTTTTTGTATGAACTGGAGATTGATGCTAGTAACAGATTTTATTTTATCTTTTTTTTTTAAAGATTTTATTTATTCATGAGAGACACACACACAGAGAGGTAGAGACACAGGTAGAGACACAGGCTTCATGCAGGGATCCCCATGTGGGACTCGATCCCAGGACTCCAGGATCACACCCTGGGCCAAAAGCAGGTGCTAAACCGCTGAGCCACCCAGGGATCCCTCTTTCCCCTGTTAAAGAAAGGGCAGTGTGGGGCTCAGCCACACACAGAAGCGTCCTTGTTCGTTTTCCCGTTTTTGATTTAGGAGAGGCAAATTATCACTCATGCAATTTATTTATTTGTTTTATTTATAAGATGTTATTTATTCATGAGAGACCCAGAGAGAGAGAGAGAGAGAGAGGCAGAGACACAGGCAGAAGGTGAAGCAGGCTCCATGCAGGGAGCCCGACATGGGACTCGATCCTGGGACACCAGACTGATGCCCTGGGCTGAAGGCAGGCGCTATTCTGTAGTTTTGTATAAACTGGAGATTGATGCTAGTAACAGATTTTATTTTATTTATTTTTTAAAGATTTTATTTATTCATGAGAGACACAGAGAGAGAGAGGCAGAGGGAGAAGCAGGCTCCATGCAGGGAGCCCCACGTGGGACTCGATCCCAGGACTCCAGGATCACACCCTGAGCCAAAGGCAGATACTCAACTGCTGAACCACCCAGGCTCCCCACTCATGCAAATTTGACCAGGATATGTATAGTATAGTTTTTAGAAAAAAATGAAAAGATAGCTACTAATGATTTTTTGAGTTACTTTAAGCTTTGGCTAATTATAACATATGTAAGGTTCCCCCCCCCTTCTCTTTTCATTTCCTGACTTCTCATTTCTCTGTTTTTGTTAATGTAAATTTAAAAGGTGCTAATATGTATTACTGTAATATCCTTAATAGGCACTTGACAGTATGGTGGGATAGCGAAAAGGAATGGCAATTTTGTCTAATTAAAATCACTAATAACTATTGTAATAGAGTAAGGAGAATACCTCCGGGTGATCAAGTCCTATTCATTATTTAAGTGTTACAAAAAACAAGAACTGTGGTGCTAACTATGAGTGTAGACTTGAATTGATGAGAAACACGGGGCCCAGGGCAGTGAAAACTCAAGCAAAGCAAGTAGTTGTGCAGAGAAACCCAAGCATTTAGCTGAGGTGTGGCTGGGCTTTCTGCCTAACCAAGAGATGAGAGCCTGGACGCCACACTCCAGAGAATCTGGTTGGGGACAGATAGCCTTGGTTTGGCAAGAAGACTAGGTGAAAGGATCAGTTATGTCACTCCATCTAGGAGCCCTGATTTACGTTACTTGTGGTTTGACCTGTTATCCTGGAAACACAAGGTTTCAAAGATGAGAAGTTTTTTGTTAGAGATAAGTAGATAGTGTCCAGGACACTCTTGCAAGCTTGGCATTAGCAAGCATCTAGTCCAACTAGCTCATTTCACAGGTGGAGACCTCGAGGCCTCAAGAAGTTCAATACTTGTTCAAGGTTATAAAGAGAGTTTGTGGCAGAGCCGATTCCAGAGTAGTTTGCTTCTATTACAAGAGGCTGTTGTTTGGTGAGTGTAGACTTCCTCATGAAAATGTGTTATGTCACTATTTAGAGGTTAGTCTGCATGCCAGGTAGCAACTATATCACATCCAAGTCCTCGAAATACTGACACACTTTTATTATTTCTTTATAAACATCTTAGAATTGACAATAATAGGTGAGCATTGCTCATGACTTGTAAGGAACTTTTCAATTCTTGGATACTTCGTAGTATTTGCTCCATCTGAGTCTCTTGATATTGTGCCTACATATTCCCTTGGCGGTGCCAAACATTACAATTGAATATGACCCCCCCCCCTTTTCCCCACAAAACTTAAGAATCCTTAGTGTCTCAGGAATTTCCTGTCATTCTTGACTCAGACCTACTTTGTCCTGGACCTTGTGTAAAGCTTTTGGGTGTATGGAGGTGAAAGGTCCAGTTTCTGCTTAGAGAAGTAACTCTAATCACTCACAAAGGTACCCCTAAAATGATACTTTACCCCCCCCCCCGTAGTTAAATTTAACATTTGACACCTATTCCTGAGGTATAATGTCATTGAGATTTTTTATTTACTCTGCTCTTAGCTTTAGTGTTTCGACTTAGGATTGATTTCATATTTTTAGAGGGCCCCCTTTAGCCATTTCTTATTTTACATATATTTTTTATTCAGCCTGTACCTAGGACAGGGCTGCTCTAAGTGTTCTAGAACCCACTGCTCTGGGGTTCATGAACAAAGCAGGCAGAGTATATGACCACATCATACTTTATTTTCACGGGGGTGGGAAAAGGCTAGACTGTACATACATAAATAATAAGATGGGTTCAGCCAAGGACAAAGCCTATGAAGAGAATAAAACAGGATCATGGGATGGAGAATGAATAGCTTAGCCAAGAAGGGGAGTGTAGATTAGATGGTCAAGGCAAACCCAATTTGACAAAGTGGGTTTTTGGTTTTTTTTTTTTTTTTTTTGTTTTTGTTTTGGCCTAATTTTTTTATTGCAATATAACACATGTACTAAAAATGTACATATTCTAAATGAACAGCTTGATGAATTCTCACAAACTGAACATGCCCAGCTCACCAGATTCAGATCAAAAACTATTTTGCAGTATACTCAGAGGGGCCCCCTGGTGTTCCTACCTATTGCTACCTCCACCCTGGAAAGGGTAAACAGGCTCCAGACTTACACTACCATTCCATGGTTTTGTTCCTTTTTGTACTTTATGTAAAAAGTGGAATTATACAATGTGTACCTGCATTCTGAATATTATGAGATCCTGGAGGTAACTTTTTGACTTTCTGACAGCTAAGTGACCTGAGTATTGACAAGTACCCAGCCAGGTGAAACTCTGAGGAAGAGTATGTTAGGCAGAGAAAAGAGCAAGTGCGAGGGCCTTGAGGTGGGAGTGAGCTCAGTGTGTTCAAGTAGTTAAAGAGGGAAAGTGATAGTACTAATAGTCTGAGGTAGCCAGGGGCCAGATCATCTGGGGATTTGCAGTATCTAATAGCTTTTTTTTCCCCCCTCTAATAGGAGCTTTTGAGAGCCTAGACTGGTTAAGTGATTTGCCCAAAGTTACCTAGTTTGTAAGAAATGGTTGGATCTGAACCTCAATCCTGGCTGCTAAAGAAAGACAAGGCATTTAAAATGGTTTACTCCTTATTATAGACCTAGGCTGGCTTTTAAACTTTTAGAGGGAATCTTCCATGAATTCACACTCCAGTAAAGATCTAACCATTTTTAGGGGTCTATTCACAGATAAAGGCCATGTTGCCATGTCCAAATAGCCAGGAGAAGAGGGTGCTGCGTTACATGGCAGTGTAATGTAGCAAGGCATGGCCACAGTAGGCACAGAGATGAGCCCATTCCATTGGTCACGTCTTAGGGGAAATCTTGGTTGAGGGGACAGAGTTGAAATAGTTAATGATAGTTCTAAACATGGTATTGTTGCCTTTTTGTGTATTTTCCCTCTCCTAACGGCAGGGCGAAGTTCATGGAGTTGCTCTGTTTTAAGAGAAGCAGAGACACTGTGAGAAACACTGCCTGTCCGATCCCCAGCTATAGAATTGTTGTGTGGTTCTCTGTGAAGCTCAGAGCTTCTGTCCAGGAACTGAGAGAGGAACACGTACTGTTGGAGGAATCTGCTTGAACCTGTGCCCCTGCTGTTGTATACTTCAAAATGGGTGGCTCCAGTTGATTTTCTCCTCTTTCAGGAAGTAGTTGGAGAAAGATGGGTGCATGGCTTTTAGAAGTGGAGGACTACAGGTTCTGTGCAAGTCCTTATCAGCCAAATGAGTCTGTATTGGAAGTTGTGACTTACGTTTATGTGCCTTCTTGCCTAAAAGAATAAGGATTTAAAAAAATACATTTAAAAATTTTTTTCAAGATGAAGTACAGTTGCAATTTCTTCCGTTAGAAAAGGAAATCTATCTCAGATAATTTAGATGCTAAACTATTGACCTTCTGTGTAGGGAAAGCCCTTTAAGTGTTCCAAATTGGTTTTGTTTACTGTAAATGAAACTTATCTTTTTATGGGCAAGTGATGGAGT